CTCTCACCAAGCTCCAGCCAAGCCCTGCTTTCCCCAGCAACCTCTGTCAGCTTCAATCAGCTCCATTCATTCCACCTGCTCCTGTAATCAGCCTCATCCCATTCACCTGCTTCCCCTGCTATAAAAGAACCAGCCATCCAGTCAACCGATGCCAGATTATTACAGCCCTGCCAGTAATTCTCCAGCCATCCACCCTGCCTGATCTCAGCCTCCAGACCTCGTTTTTCTCCTGACCCCTGCCTTGCTCACTGCCTGCCATTTGGACCTTGCCTGTCTCTGAACCTGCCTCAGCCTTGCCCTCCAGGTACCTCTGCCTTCAATAAAGACTTTTTTATATATTTTTACTGTGTTGGCGTCTTCACGGGTCTTCAGAACTCGGTTCCTGACACCCAGGGCATGGAGACCCCAGCCCATCCTGCCAGGGCCCAAAGCAGCAGCATTACAGAGCCTCACGGAGTCCGAGGGCACCAACCCAGCCCCACCCCAGCAGAATATCTATGCCCATCCCTGCATTTTCACAACTTCCAGAATACATAAGACATAGGACATCCAGGATAGGTTGGGTCCTCCCCCTCCTGGACCTCCTCCTCCCCTGTGATGGGACAGAGGAGGCAACGTCTACCCGAGGCCCCTGAACCCGGGCCAGGCACTGCTGCATGTTCCTGCCTTCTTCCCGGCAGCATAAATGTCAGGACCTGACCCCCAAGGCCCCGCCCAGATCCCCACACGAGGCCGGCCACCCCCAAACCCCGAGCCCCCAGGCCCCCACCCAGACCCGCCCAGGGGCAATGCAGCTGCCAGGCAGTGACCCATGGCCGCCGCCAAGACCTCCAAGGGGCCCCACTCACAACCGCCAGTAGTCCACCCCCCGACGCAACCCAAGCACCTCCAGAGGGGGCCAACCGCCCCCCAGTCCCAGACACCCCAGTGAACCCACCTCCAGGGAACATCCGGATACTCCAAACTCAGACCCCCCCCCCCCCCCCCCCCCCCCCCCACATCATCCTGCAGGACAACATCAATGGTCCCCCATCCTCGCTATGTGATGGAACCGATCAAAGGAGCCCAGAGAGATTGATTTGAAGTGGAAGCAGAGGCTATATCAAGTGTAATATGATCTAACAAAAGACTTCTATACTGGTTAATGCAGAGAGTTTCTCTATTTTTCCAATTCAAGAGGATAGTTTTCTTAGCGATGCATATGGCAGTCAGAACCACGTGAACCAAAGATGTTTCAATCAGGACATCGTCCAGGTTTCCCAGTAAACAAAGAGAGGGGGTGGTTGGGATATGACATTTCAGACACTTTGACAGGTCTTCACACACTCTACCCCAAAATTCCTGGACAGGTGGGCAGGACCACAGTGCGTGGGTGTAATTGTCAGGAATGTTGTTTGTGCAGTGTGTACAGGTGTCAGACGACACAAACCCCATCTTGAACATCCGATGACCTGTATAGTGTACTCTGTGTAGAATTTTGTACTGAATTAATTGTAAATTGGTGTCTGATCATTTTAAAAGTTTTTAAACAACTTTGGGACCAGAAGTTCTGGTCAAAGCTGACTGATAGGTCCACCTCCGATTTGTCAATAGGGATTGCTATTCTATCGTCTATTTTGGACAGTGTCTTATATACTTTAGACAGTAGTTTGGGGGTTTGAGATTATAGAAGTCTAATACCCTTGGTGGTGTTTGTAATTCTATTTTATTGAGCTTAAATTTTTGTTTTACTACAGATTTAATTTGGTGATATTCTAAAATGCTATTCTTATCCATTCCAAATTGGGAGACTATTCTATTAAATGGGATGAAGTCCAATCCTTCATATATGTGTTCCAGGTATAGGATTCCTTTATTTTTCCAGTCCGGAAGGTTCATCATTTTGTTATTTTGCAAAATATCAGGATTATTCCAGATAGGTGTGCGTCTGCATGGTACTAGTGAAGACTCGGTCATTTTAAGATACTCCCACCATGCTGTCAGAGAGGTGCTGATACTAATACTTTTGAAGCCTTCATGTTTTCTTATGCTTGAGCTAATAGATGCACTCGCTGATAAACTTTATAAATGAGTGTCTAATTTTGCTGTAGAAACGTGAAGTCAATAATTTGACATTTTAGTGCGTCTTACTTAAATTTACATATTCTGCCTAAGCTGTCAGTGTTGCGCTCTCTTCAAGTAAAAACTCTGCAGTGCATTTGAATTTAAATCTGCCATCGCTATTGGCTAAGAGGTACACTATGGTGTTAGCTGGTACATTCTGATGTCACAATGTTGTTGTGAGCCTGCATTTTTCAAACAGGAAGTGGGAGTTCAATAAGACTCTGGTAGGGGTGACTTGCTCTTCAACAATTTCGTGGTTTAGGTACGAACACACTGCTTTATGGAAATAGTGGTTTACTGTGCCTTTGTGTTGCTGAAATACAGGCTAGCAGTTAGCTTTTTCTAGTAGTTTGCTTTTATTGTTTGCATCATGGTGGATCTTGGAAATAAACAAAAGACACAAGCTCCTGCCTCTGTAGGAGGCTGTGAACATGAACACCACTGCACATACTTTCAAAATAAAATCACTGTAAAAGCCAGTTTCAAAATAAAAGCCATTTTGGAATTTTTGTGGAGAATAAACCATGCTGTACATAAAATCTCATTTTAAATTGACCTGAACATGAATGTCACAACTACAAAGGTTTTTAGAGCAAAACTTACTTTTTATAAACATAAAAAGAGAAAAAATTTGTTTAAAGTCATTGGAAATGAGATACCTATTCAGGCAGCTCAGGGTTTCTTTTTGCATGCTCTGATTTTCATCCACTCTTTTCTGTATAAAAATGACCAACAAATTCTAAACCAATTAAATGTGGAACACTGGTGTTGTTAGAAAGAGATCATCACTAAACATTTGTCAAAATTTTAAACGTATTGCTTTGTGCAGGTTGGTCACATTCAGTGCATCAAAATGACATTAAACTGCGTCGTAAGTAAAACACTTTTAACTCATATATATGAGGAATCATTTGATGGATTGTTCTGTTTATGAAAAAGGTTTAATAACTCCTTACTATCATGGGAGGCTGAGGGAAATTTCCCATGCTATGATCAATGCAAGAGTACTGATCTGTGTGTTGTGGAGCAAAAATAATAATTTATCAGCCTTTGTGTTGCTGAAAAAGAGAAGCTTAAACCAAAAAGATGGATATTAAGCTTCAAATAAAAATGCACAGCAGGTGTTAGAAACTGAAAACGGGACCATGTGGAATGCAGCTTTTGAATTATGGTGCAGCTGTGCTCAATTTCATGAAGGTTTGTGCATACCATGTGATGGACTGTGTCAAACTGTGAGTGGACACAACTTTATGAAGCCAGTAAAAGACATCACTTCTGCTCTGTTTGACAGGATAGTGTTCATAATACGTTTTTCAACAGCAATCCCCAAAAAACTCTAGGTTTTATTTTATAGCTGATCACACACACACACACACCTCTGATTTCAATCAGCTCTTGGGTAATAAAAGACGTGACCGGAGAGATGAATCAATCAGCCAAGGGGTGCTTGTGCATGTGTGCCATGTTGGCTTCAAGAAGAAAAACATTAAATACTCACAAAGTCAGCCATGCATGAGATAAATGCTCTGCACACCTGGTCACTATGGTAACCAGAGTTGGGAGGGACGATGTAGAACATGTAAAATACTAAAATATTGGTACAATTTCAAAATTATAAGTTTTTTTAAAAATACACAATAAGAAAGCCATGTGACCTAAATGTGTAGAATGGTTCAGAAAAACAGATATGCGATGCTAAAATGGCATGCCGAGCTAATACCTTCAGGTTTTCCCAAATATAATTGATACTTATAAAAACTAAAGTCGGATTAAATGAAGTCTACGAAATGCCATTCCAATTTTGTTAATCATTAAGATGCATTTTTATATAATGTTTGCTTTATTCAGCTGTAAAAGATCATTTCACTTGGTTTTCAAATTTTTGATTTGCGGACAATTCCAGAGGTGCCCCCAAGGGGTGGCCAAGGCCCTTCCTGGAAAAATGCTGGCCACCCAGAGAGAAGGCCTCTCTCACTTTAATAGATCCTGTTTATTTTCACAGGAAACAGACATTAATCCTCTTCGATAAATAAATAAATTAATTAATTAATATGTTGCTGCTGCTCAAAGAATAGAGGGGTGTGCAATGCACAGCTAAAGGCTAAACACTCACAGTTACCACAAGGACCAACTTTTGTACCACCCTAGAAATTTCACTGGCCCCCCAATGAGAATTTTCTGGGTGCGCCTCTGGACGATCCACCTTTGCATCCCTCTGACCATGAATATGAGTTTTAGGACTGGCAAGTGTATTTCATGATTACAAAGATTTCCTTTTAACAGAGAAACTGCACACTTCAGTTTATACATCAAAATACAAACTCCAATTAACGCACCTAATTAAAAAGCACGTGGGAAAAATATCATACAAAAGACATATAAATGCAAATCAGAACCAGCCGGAAAACCAAACTTCCACTGGAATTGAGAAATCTCACCCAAACCTAGATGCTTCTCTTGGTTATATACTCTGACTCCAGCATGTCACTTCTAATTAAAACCCTCTCTCTGATCCCAAGTTTCCCTTTAAACTCTATTCATTAGCAACATAGCCACTGCAGCTTTATTCATGACAGAGCATACCATTTTTCTCTATTTCCTCCAGTAGGCGGTGCTAAATGACACTCTTCACCTGATCTGGGCTCAGCTTGATTAATATCTGTTACTATTTCAGCTGGTTTTCCTTATAGTTGCTGGGTTTAATTAAAATATCAGTACATCTCTCAGGCTGCATTAAACAAAAGGACAAAAAAGATGATGAATGCTGTGCAGCCATGCATCAGGACATCAGGTCACCCAGCTGGACAAAGGCTTGCAGCAAAATATGACATGATGCATTGCCAGAGAGGAAAATAGGCATCAAACATAACTTAAATGTGGAAAACACACTCACTTACAAGCACAAACACGTACAAAAACACAGCAGTGGTGGGGAGCTTGTTGCTCCAAGCTGATATTGTACTCCACAGAATGGGAATCAATAGGTCTTTCCAGCTGTCCAGAGCACAGGATGCAGATGTAACAACCAGGGATCTGTTGCTCAGTCAGCTGTTATGTGTAACTCCAGCTTCTTTCCACTCACCGCTGTAAACTGCAATGGAGCTACGACTGCGTCTGACAACACTGCAAGGACTGAGTCATCAGTTCACCACTTGTTTAAGCAACCCAAGCTGTTACCTAACATCGAATGATTCTGTACGTGCAAAATGCAGCCTCTGCAAAATGCAGCTTCTGGGATGCTCAGAGGTAAAAATCCTGGATTCAAATCAGACTGATGCAGCAAAAAAACAAAAAAATTATTATTAAATTAAATAAATAAAAGCCTTTTTTCTGAGTTCATGTGTGTGGAAATAATTCATATGCCTGCGAAAGGGAATGCGTATCCTAGAGCTCTGAGACCGTCACCCGCTAAAGACCAGTTAAAGGTCAGCAGCCAAAGGCGATGCATCCGCACTGATGTGCCCACATGGCCCAAATGCGTTTTTCATTCTTGTAAAAGATAATCTGGGAATAAGGAGAATTTTTACTACCCCATCAAATAAATGACAATAAATAACGATAAGTGACACGCACACGCCCAAACATGGTGTTGGATTTATGTAGAAAACACTGTATACAGCCCCTGAAAGTGTACACACTCTCTCTCTCTCTCTCTCTCTCTCTCTCTCTCTCTCTCACACACACACACACATCCATACGGAAAGCCAGTCCTGTTGATTGTGAGGGTCTTGATGTTGACTTCTGATTCAGCAAACACAAACAAGTCTCCTGGTTGGCTTGTGCCGTCCTCGCCTTTCCACACACACATCAACAGTAAAGAAACTATGAAGGGAAGAAAGAAGAGCATCTAGGAAGCAGGCATAACCCATCCATTTGAATACTAATAACACGTTTATGATCAGTGTAGCAGAAAGGATTTAGAGTGACTCGTTCACCTTTGAATTTGGTCGAGCTGCGTAGACAAGAGAGCCCGTTTCACTGAAAACACTGAACTCCACCTATATGGGATGTTTTTAAATGTCCTTAAGGACCACGCTGACAGTCACCCACTCAACAAGTGTGCACTTTATTCACCTTGAGTTGTATCCTCTAAAAATAAAGCTCTTCCATCTCTGCTCTGGTCATTACTTAAAGGCACATTTTAAATCTTTTCATAAAAGCAGAAGGTGATATAAATGACAATAATAAATGATAATAAAATGGAACAAGATGAATGTGCCTCACCCTGCAATGGCTGGAAATAGGATATGCTCCTTCTGACAGGAAAAAACGCTTCCTGGGTAATCTCACGGCAGGATTTTTCTCCAGATCAGGTCCTCCCTCACGTAAAGCGACCTTCGAGTTTCACTCTCCTCTCCTTCTGGAAGAAGATGAATGAACCGCTGCGTCTCCCTTGCCAACACATTTCCATAAACACCGCCTCCGCTCCACCATTAGCCAGCTCTCTGTTTGGGGGTCGGACCTCCTTCTGATTGGACGGTGCAGCATGTTAGTAAGGGCTGAAGTTGGCTTCTGAGTGGGGATTCAGTCAAAGGACCATTCCACATTTTCTTTGCCCTTATCTTCAGATTCAGATCACTTCGTTGTCATTGAGAGAAGACGCATTTCTGGATGAAAGTACGAGTAGAGAGCTCAGTCCAATGCAAAAGTCCCAATAAAAAGGAATAAAAACAGGTTGAATGGATGAATTCATATTTATTTTGAATTTTAACAGTTTCTTCGTTGTACATTTATTAGTTTTCAGGGAGTTGAATCGAAATTGGAATGAGTTGAAGCTCAAAGCTTATTTTCTTCTTCTCATCTTAAAGAGCAAGTTCACTTGTTTTTGCAACACTCTTGCTGTGGTCTCTGGTTTAAATGAGTGCCTTGTGAGTCAATCTCTGGTGGGGGAAAAAAAGCTCTGGTGCTCCTATTTCAGGAACTAGAAGTGAGCCAGATCAGAGCTGAACAGAACATCGCAGGATTTCATCTTATTTCCTGATATTCTGACATCTCGTCTCTGATTGGATAACGGTAAAGTGACTTTACCACTCACTGATGTCTCTCCAACGTTAGAGTTTTATCTCCATGAATAGCACTAGCCTGAAGGAGTTCTGCCCTGTGATGGAGTTACTAACGGTTACCTTCTACTAGCAGCAATGTTCTCTGCTGTTCCCGGATGATAAACCAACAACAATCTTCCCCGTCTCGAGCTAAGATGGGTGAGCCCATGAATGTTAATTTTCAGTGTGACGTAGATCTGACTGGCTTTTTAATCCGAGGGTTTCGCCGTTTACTTTCCATCGCCAGCTAATGCATGAGATAGGAATAAAAGAATATTTTCATGTTCAGCCTGCATGTTAAACTCAGTTTAAAAATATTTTTATTGAATATTAAATATGGATGAAAATAATGTGTTATTTTACCAACCAGAGAGGTTTACTATGTCTACAACATCTATAAAAACGTATGTCTAAAACTGTATAACCACCTAATCTCTTTTCTTCAAAGGTGTTTGGCCGAAACCGCCTTTCGGAGCCAGCGTGATAAACACAATTTTCCTTTTCCACATATTACATTCTCCACCAGATGACAGCAGACATGAATAGGACGGGTATGACAGATTTCTAATGAAGGTGCTAACGCTAATACTCCATCTGGGCACTTTAAGGCCAGAAGTGGTCTGATGCTCATTTGCAGCAGTAGTCTACATGTGGCTGTGACACATATTCTATTGGATGTCTTTAGAAGTAGAAATTTCCTGGAAATTTCTGTCAGTGAAAACAGAAAAACGCAGTCGTGATTTTTTCTCGTTATCATTTCCTCCTCAGATGTGATCTTCTTCACCAAGAACAGACATTAAGGTCTAGCTAGTAAATAGATTTATAATGAGATATACAGAATCTTCAGATTCTCATAATTAAGTTTGATTATTATTTCATCTAGGGATGCACCGATTCACTGTAAAAGTTAACCAACACCAGGAACCGATACCAATGCAGTTGCCTGAAAGGGGCTTCACCGTAACTTGTCATTTCTGTTCACCTAATATTTGAGTTTTGTGATCATTCCTATTCATATATTTTACTTTTTATCTACCTCACAGTCTTTTCCTGTTGAAAGCAGAGAAGAAAATTAAACCTGTATTCCAATTCACTGTATTTTTTTTTTTGTATGGTAGAAGTATCGGTAATCGATATCGGTGAGTACTCAGACCCAAGTATCGTATCGTATCGGTTTGGGAAAGTGTGGTATCGTTGCATCCCTAATTACATCTATTGAGAATGCAGTTGAATGTGTTAAATAAAAAAGAAAACATTTTGTCTCCCTACAACTAATGACTTCCCTTCTCCCGTTCATGAGTATTTACCATCATGGAGAAATCTCTTAAGTTCATTAGAAGGAAGGTAAACCTGGACTTTAAAGAAGGCTTAGCGGGAGATGTGTGTTATTTAGATCCACACAATCCCATTATTATCAGTCAGATTACAATTTTTTAATAAAATTATGAATATCAATCAATCCATCCCTCTATGTACCTGTTCTACTAGTATCACAGTAAAGTTGGCATCTATCTCCACCAGTCACAAAGGATTAGGGTTAGGGTTAATTAGCAACCTAACCCATTGATTTACAAATGTCGATATACACTAACTGGGTTTCTGAGCAGAACTTAATGGAATGCTACTGTAACATAAAGGAGTGAGGTGAAAATAATGGCAAAGTATTATATGTGAAATGTAAGTGCATTGTAAAACAATTCAGCATCGTATAATCACTACGTATGAGTATGAAGTTTTGTGTTGCTGATTTTCCCCAACACAGTCTCTGTAGAACTGTAGACTTGAAATAATGCTGTTATTATTATTCAAAAATTATTATTGAATTATAAAAAAGACTGATTAATTTATAAGCCAGCATTTAATACTGATTCACTTCATGCTGACTGTATATAAAGGACAGGAGCTGTAGATGAGGGACAGCATGGTAATAGCCACGCGGCACGAGTCTCTTGGTTGGGAATCATGTAACCTTCAGCACAAGGTTAACGTCCATCATGCAGCGCTCCTTTAATAGAGTAGTCTGTAGTGTGTGTCCTTCTATCCAAGGTTAGCGTTCAGTCTGACAAAGACTCAGATAATCACGTTAAACAAAACTTGACCTCTTTCAGATATCTCAATAAGTTCACATGATATTACTGTTGGTTTGCTGCCCAAGGAAAGCTGGTGTCAAAAATTAACACTCATTACTTTTCTTTTAACCCCTTAATATTATAAATAATAAACTACATTAGTTTTAAAAAGTTTTAAAACTTTGTATTGTCTAAAACAAATCGGTTTTATTGCATTATGTAATTATATAACAGTAGTAGACACGTGAATTGTGCCAATAATGACTTAATGCTGCCGCATGGTAAATGTCGCTGTTATAGACAATTGTTTTAGGTCATAAAATACTTTTTCCATGTAAAACTATGAACATTAATTCATAGTTATTCTTCTACATTCATTTAGATACAGAATTTCCTGTGAAAGCCTTTGCACCATTTCGTCTTTCCCCTTTTTCACATACCATCGCTGTCAATGTTGCATTGTCGTTCTAATTTCCTCTGCATTTAGTTTGAGCAGAGGATCCATTGTTGTTGCACTTTTCAGCGGTGCAATGATGACAAATCACTAAGGCCATCAATCATCCAAAAAATTTAATCACAATTAATTACATATTAAATATCTGGGGAAAGCCATTGACTTCAGCCCAGAACTGCATGCATGGTTTGATGGACAGTCTCTATCACAAATACATTTTGCAGAAATTACATCTTTTTAACTCACAAGTTTATAACTTCCACCCTCGTATCACGCTGGTGTGCTCAGGGTCTGCCTTAATTAATGAATGCCTTAAGGCGCTAATAATGCATTAACTTTGACAACCTTATAAATTTTATTATATTTGTTGTGTTTCTATTTATGTTACAGATACGTTTGGTTTGTTTATTTCCCTATTTATAAAGATTCATGCTACGTTCAAAACTGCTTTTGTTTTGTTATCATTTTTCCTACAAACAAACAAACAAACAAAAATAAATATGCTATTTTGCTTTTTTACGACCTTTTAAGGTCGTGTTTGGGGGTATTTTCTACAGTTTACATATTTTTTGTCCTGTTAGTACTGTTTCTCCTAACAAAACCACCTGCTTCAGTAGTTTTATTATATTTTTCTTTTGTAATAATTTACTTCTTCTTGTTATTGTATTTTCAACTGAGCTATTACAACAAGTTTGTCTAAACTGTGTCGATGCTGAAGGGAATGTGCAGACATGGTTGAGACTTTCTCTGTTGACGCATGTAGCTCACAGCAAGAGATCTTCTGCTAGAGATACTCTCTCAGCGTGAAACACAAGTGCAAAGGTGCACTGGAGGAAAGGCATGACACAAAAACAACAACAGCAAAGAGGGTAAACCGGACGGTCAGGAACAGTTTATAACGCCTGTACTTTATGCATTTGATTCTAACCACAATTTAGAGAAAAACTAAAGATAAAAGATATAATTACAATTCTCGGGGAGGCAAACAATACATTCTTTTAGGAAAATGACCCTGAATAATTTGTGTTCAAGTATTAAATAAAATCTTACAGCCAAGCATAAAAACATCCCACCCTCCCTTTTCAATTTGTCTTTCTGCCCACTGCCCCCCCCCCCCCCCCCCGCCTACTGCCTCCATTAGAATATCTATAATTGAAACCACATTAATTGATTTAAAATGAATCTCCCTTACTCTAATTAAATATGCTTTATTGAAAATAGCATGAATATAGAATGGACCTCTCTGTCTTCTCATGTATAAATATTAATGATGCTCAGCAGCAGACCGTTGCCATGGGAGACAACCCACTGAGCACGTCCTCATCCTCTCATCCCTAAATTCTCTCTTTCATCTCTGCTGTCCTCTGTCCTCATCCCACCATTGGTCTGCACAATAAGGCAAAGTTCTGTCTTATCCCATGTCCCTTTTATCTATTTAATAAACTGGTACCTTGTAAAAAATATATAAAAGAATTTGTTTATTTTACCCTAAAACTTGAGGAGATCGCTGAAGCTTCATGTTGAAAGTGTGTGAGTGAATCTACGGTTGTCTTTCAAACTCTCCACAAGCTATTGACCAATGAACAACGTCATG